CAATCTTGCAGCTGAGGTGGTAAAAGATGGAGGGTGAGCTTTCAGTTCATCTTATCTTAAACCCAGTGTCTGTGTTGAGAGATGTCTTCTGCTCCTCTGGCACTGCGGAGTGTGGTGGGATTCCTGAAATGCTTTGTTTCTGGGGCTGGCTTTGGGTGAAATCCCTTCTGGGGTGTCGTGTCAGCACCTCGTGCCTCAAGGGACACGTTTGGTTTGGCACTCCAGCATTTGTCAGGGTAACACCTGACTCTGAGAGCTCTCATTTCAGCTGCTGTGCCTGGACCTTGTTAGAAACTGGTTTATCTCCCTGAAAATACACCCTGGTGCCCACTGATTGTCCCCTCCCTCCACCCTTTGAAGGCCTCTGCAGTCAGTTCCCCAGAAAGGAGGTGGTCAAGAGGATATTTTTTTTAAATCTTCACAAACCCAGTTCCCAGTCAAAGGAAACATCTAATAAAAATATCAATTGTGGGACATTTTACCATTTGTGCTGAGCAGTGTTGGCAGTAACGCTCCAGGTGCTGTCCAAAGGTGCAGTTGGTGAGGACAGAAATCCTGGGTTTTGCTCCAGGATTCTGTAGGACCAGCCCCTCTCCTGAGCCAGCCTCAGTCTTACTTCCTCTAAAACACCTCCAGTGATGGAGACTTCGCTCCAGAGCTTCACCAGCCTTATGTTCAGCTGTCATCTGGGATTTTTCCACCTCCTAAGTGCAGGTTTCTGTGCTGCACTTCAAGCTCGTGTCTTACTGGGGGCAAGACAATCAGAAAAGATGATTATTCCCTACTTACCTGCATCAGCCTTGATGTTTTACACCTGGAAAGACAGATCAAAGCATGCCCAGTGCCCCTTTATTGTGCTGCCCACCAAGGGCAAACATTTCATTTTTTGGAGGTCTTCTGGCTTGATTTTCTTTTTTTGTGTATTAAAATCTACTCATTCTGAATCATTGACAAGAATTCTTCCATCACATCTTCCGAAGTCACCCTTGGCTCTGCAGGGAGTGTGGTGATGAGATGGTGCCTGCTGCCCTGCGAGCCAGGGCCCTGCAGTGCATTCCTGAGCACAGGAATTTCAGCTGGATTCCCCAGCCCTGCCTCCAGAGGAGGGGAAGGAGAAGGTGCAGGAGGATCTGCCACAAAAGGCTTCAGCAGGATGGTGCTCAGCACAGCTTGCTCTGGTTTCCCCCAGTGCTGATGGAAACAAACTCCTCTGGAGGAGTTGGACGTCCACAGCCAAGAAAGTCCAGTGGAAAATTCCACTTTTTTGAGCCTTTTCCATTTGGTGCTGAAACAGGGGGCTGAGGGACTGGTGAGGTCACTCACTCCTGACCCTGGCCTTTGGTGCCCAAGAAACCAGAGCAAGAAGAGTCAACCTTCACCTCTGGAGCCACTGCATCCCCAATAGCAGCAGCAGTTGAGGTTCTGGGCTTTCATCTGGGTTTTCATCTGGGTTTTCATCTGGGTTTTCATCAGGGTTTTCATCTGGGTTTTCATCATTTTGCCTTGCTCCAAACCAGACAGTGTCCTGTGCTCTCTGAGGGGCTCCAAGGTGATGGCTCAAGTCCTTGTGCATTTTCCATTTTGTGCCATAAAAGAACTCCCAAGAGCAATAGTTCTGTGCTGTTTCATGACCCCACACTTGTGTCCCCACTCCTCCTCCATGCCCAGCAGTGTTCCTCGTGACATCTCAACCTGCAGAGCCATAAACTCCCCTCAGGGGCCATCTCCACTCTTGGGTTCTTCCCTCAAGCACGAGGGTGCTGAGAAGTTCCCACCATCTGCTCACCTGCCTGGAGCTGGCTCCTCACCCCTGCTGAGGACAGGAGGGGCTTTTGGGGGGCTCCACGGCGGGGAAGCAAAGGCACAGCCTGGCTGCCCCTTCCTGGGAGCCCATGGGCACGGTTTGTGCTGCTCTGTGTGTGATCCCTCCCCTCTGCTGCTGTCCCTGCCAGGCAGGAGCTGCTCTGAGCAGCCTCAGGTTCCAGTGGGATCCCATTCCCTGCCTGCCCCGTTCCTCACAGCCCCACTCCACTTTCTGTGCACAAATGTATTTCCCAAAGACTCAAGAAGTTGGTTTGGGGCTGCCTGGGTTTTAGGTTTTTTTTTTGTCTAATGGATTTCCTGTTTTTAATACAATTGAAAGGGTCTGAAATCCATGCTTTAGATTAACATATGCCAGCTAGATTAGGGCTAATCAGGGTGCAGGTCTGAGCAGATGCAGCGCGGGGCCAATCCCAGACCTGATTACAGCATCTCAGTGCTTTAATCGTCTCTCTCCCAAGGGCGATCGGCTCTGCCCTAATGCACAGCAGACTTTGCAGCCCTCTCCTGCTCTGGTTTGTCACCACCCCTGGCAGGAAGGGCCACCACGTCATCTGCTGAGGCGATTTGTGTTAATCCCGCGCAGAGCAGAGCGGGATCCGCGCCGCCTCTCACCGAGACTTCCCAGGAGCTCCCAGAGCTGCCCAGGCTCGGCCAAGCCCTGGCTGAACAAACTCACCCTTCCCAAACACCCCCACGGGTGCCCAGGGCTCGCCAGTGCCTGCTTTTGGCACGTTTGGACAGAGCGGTGGCTCGAGCGTGGCGCAGTCTGTGGCCCACGGGGGGTGGTGGTGGCTCTGCTCCCTGGGCTGTCCATGTTTGATCTCCTCTGGGTTAACAACCCAAGTAACCCAAAGGGCTTAGTTGGCTTGTTGGTCTGGAGCACGGATTTGAGGTGCATCCCAGGCCAGAGCTCCAGCTCTTGCCTAAACTGGGATGTGCTGTGTTCCCCCGAGGGGTCTGCTCAGAGATTCCCTTCAGCAGGGCTGAGCCCGAGCTCTGTTTGCTCATTTCTTCTGTTCCTGAAGTTCCCACTGACCAGAGGGAGCTGGGAGCCTCCTCCTGACTCTGTGCCTCTGTGGGAGCTGGTGCTGAACAACCAAGCAGGGAACCAGTTCCTTGGCTGGGCCTGGGGCGTGTGGCCAGGAGCCCTCAGGGCATCAGGAGCATTCCCAGCCCCGCAGCCCGAGGGGAGGGCTGAGGCAGCGCCGGGGTCACCCACCTGGTCAGCATGATTAACTCCTAAGCTTTCCTGTCTGCACACAGAGTTATCCAAGGACACAGAGCTGCCTCTGTTACCAAACCAGTGCCCTTGGTGGGGCAGAGCTCTGCTCCCTGCTCCTCAGCACAAGGGGATTGCGCTGCTTTTTCGGGAGCCTGGTGTCCTGGCAGGGCTGCCCATCCATCCCGTGCTGCTGCTGCTGCTGGAAGCATTTGCTGACCTCAAAAAGCTGGTTTTTCCCCCAGCAGAGGTGTGGGTAGTTTCTGAAATGTCTAAATGAGCTCTCTTGTCCAAATCCCCTTGGTCAAGCCAAAGGTGGAGGTGGGCACAGGGATAACACTGGGGTAGAACGATGGAGTTTCTCCTCCCAGCCTGCAGGATTTGCCATTCCCCTGCCCTGTCCAATTCTGTTGAGAGCTCCCTGCTATTTTTTCCTCCTCTTTCCACCATTCACATCACAGTGGCCCTCAGGGGCGCCGTTGTTTTGTTGTCACCTTGGTTGGTGTTTCCTGGCTCACCAGGACTCGCCTTTGGCACTGCAGCGTTTTCCTCCCAGCCCAAAGCTTTGCCAGCTCCATCCTCAGCCTGGAGGCATCTGATCCATTCCTGCAGCCTTGGCAAAAGCTGTTTCTACTTTGCTGGACCCATCCATGGCTGGGGAAAGGCTGAGAAAGGGGGATTGCTTTCCTTTCTCTGTGCTGTGTGTCACATGCACACTGTGAGAGCCTGGGGCCGGTGCCAGGAGCAGGGTTGGCTTGGCCAGGGCTTGCTGCCCTTTCCCTGTGAGGGCAGAAGGACCTGGCTGGGATGGAGAGGGAGCAGGAGGAAGGGAATTGTGTTGGAGAGGGTTGTAATGGGGTTCATGGATGCACAGCAATGGGATCCTCTCACGTGCCACTGGTGGGGTGACCTGCAGAGTTACAGGGGATGGGAGAAGCCAAATTTATCCCTTCTTCAGCCCCACAGTTCCCAGTTCTGGGTATATCAAGTGGAAAACATAGGGGGAGCGTGTTCCTTGTCAGTGGGGGATCCCTGGTGGGCTGTGGGGTGGGTGGGAGCAATCCCTGCTCCAGGAAAACTCGGCCTGATGGGTTTGGCTGAGCAGCTCCCTGCTGTACCACCCCAAAACATGGCTGGGCTGGGTTCCTCCTCCAGAAATGATGTTATTTCTTTCCTCCTCATCCTTATTCCTTCCCTGGAGCTGCCACCCATCTCAGCCCCATCCCATCCCTGTTCCCATCCCGTTGGCTCCAGGGAGGGCAGGTCCAGCTCAGCGAGGCCACCAAGGCACAGATCATCCACCCAGCCTGGACACAGCTGGGGCGCCACTTCCTGAAGTTCTAAAGTCCTAAAATTCCTTCCTGATTGCTGCTTTTCATGGATAGAGTCACGGCATGGTTTGGGTGGGAAGGAACTTTGAAGATCATCCAGTTCCAACCCAAACCATGGGCAGGGACACCTTCAAATATCCCGGGGTGCTCCAAACCCTGTCCAACCTTGGACATTGCAGGGATGCAGGGGCAGCCCCAGCTGCTCTGGCAATCCCAGCCCAGCCAGGAATTCCTCATTGCCAAGATCCCATCCCTGGCTGCCCTCTGGCACTGGGAGCCATTCCCTGGGTGCTGTCCCTGCAGGCCTTGGCCCCAGTCCCTCTGCAGCTCTCCTGGAGCCCCTTCAGGCCTGCAATGTGCTGGAAGCTCTCCCTGGAGCCTTCCCTTCTCCAGGGGAACATTCCCAGCTCTCCCAGCCTGGCTCCAGAGGGGCTCCAGCCCTGCAGCAGCTCCGGGGCCTCTCTGGGTTCACCCCAGCAGCTCCAGATCCTCACGGAGTAGAGAATCCCCTCCAGGTGGGAGAGCTCCAAAGAGCCACCCCCAGAGGCAGCCCCAGAGCCCTGGGCAGCTCCCGTGGCAGCTCTGTCCCCTCTCCTGACGCCGCGGGTGTCCCTTTGTCCCCGCAGGGCTGGTGCAGATCCCGGTGAGCATGTACCAGACGGTGGTGACCAGCCTGGCGCAGGGGAACGGCCCGGTGCAGGTGGCGATGGCGCCGGTGACCACGCGGATCGCGGACACGGCCGTCACCATGGACGGGCAGGCGGTGGAGGTGGTGACCCTGGACCAGTGACCCCGGAGCAGCCCCACCCTGCCCAGCCTCCTCCTCCACTGCAGATTTTTTACGCCTCTCCAGAGATGCAATCAGGTGGCATTTGAATCTCTCCCGGCTTTGGAAAAAAAACTTTTTTTTTTTTCTTTTTCTTTTTTTTTTTTTTCTCTTTTTTTTTTTTTTAATCGAGAAAAACAGAAAAAAAAAACAAAAAAAAAAACACCAAAAAACCAACCAAATCCTGGCAGAGGATGTGTGTAAAGTGCATTTTTCTAGCGCCACTCTGCTCTCGGAGGAACGAGAAGCCAAATTGTGACGGGACTTTGATTCTGAGGAGGTTGGAAAGAAAAGAAAAAGAAAAATACAGCGACCCTTTATGCCCCCTTTTCCCCCACGTGGGATCGAGCAGGAGGAGGCTGGGGGGCAGCACGGACACCCTCAGCCAGCACCGACCTCGACAGCAAATTAGGTATCAAAGATTTTAATATGGACTTTTATATTCCGAAAAACCCACCCTGGATAAACAAACAAAACAAAACAAAACAAAAAAGAAAAAAAATAAAAACAACAAAAAAAACCAACAAACCACAAAAGGAAAAAAAAAAAAATTTTGGGGGAAAAAAAAAAAAAGACTCCTCTCCTGGGAAGGAAAAAAAAAAAAAAATTAAAAAAAAAAAGAAATGCATGTGTGACTGCAGGGGGGTGGATGGAGACCTCCCGAAGGGATGATGCTCTTCCAGGAGCCTGCCGGAGGATCCGCGCCCGCTGGGCTCCCTTGGTGCACACTGGAGACCTGTTCCTACTTCTCTGCTCTCCTACCTGCCATTTTACATCCTCGGGGTTGTTTTTGGTTTTTTTTTCCTTTATTATTATTATTATTGTTGATGTTGTTGTTATTGTTATTATTATTTCGTGGCTCTAGACTGGAGCGGAAGCGCCTCTAAAGGGGCTCTGGCTGTGTCCCCCCCCTTTTTTCCCACCACATTCCCGGGATTTCCCTCAAAAAGGAGCCACCTCGGGCTCATCCCAGTCCCTGCTGCCAGCCCCAACCTCTGCTCCTGCAATTCCTACAGGAAAAGCTTTGCCTGAGGGGGGATGCGAGTGAGACCCTTCCCTTTGGGGGCCCCTCTTCACCCCAGCCCCTGCCCCATCCTGGTCCTGCCCTGTGCCTCTCCCAGCACGGTTTTAACCCCAAAATCCTTCCCAGGAGGGTTCAAAAAGCCTTTGGGGTGGGGTGGGGGTGTTTTTGGGGGGCAGATTTTACTCAGCATCCCCATGGGCCAAACCCTCGTGCCCAACCAAACCCCTTCCCCCCCTGCAAGCACTTCCCATGGGATTTAATTTTTGGGGTTATTTTGGGGGGTTTTTTTATTATCATTTCCAAGTGGCCGTTCAAGTTCTCCACGTCTCGCTCTGCCTTCGAGGGAGTTTTCAGATTCTTGTATTTACTTGTTTTATATGGGGGAAAAAAAACAAAAACCCACAAAAACAAACCTATCCAATGTTCTTTGTATACAGTTCTTGGGTCCTATTTCCGAGGGGAGGGAGATCTTTCCATAGAAACAGTCCTGGTTCTCCAATTCATGATGTTTTTTGGGTTTGGTTTTTTTTCTAATGATTATTTTTTTATCGTCGTTGTGAAGATGTCGGTGGCTTTCCAAGTCAGTGTTTCTTTGGCAATGAAATGAGGTTCTTTTAGTCCCCCCCCCCCAAAAAAAAGAGACAAAAACCAGGCAAATAGCAGAGCATGGACCCCCCCTTGTTTTCCCAGTGTCTATTATTGCCTCATTCAATAAATTGTTACAAATGTGTCTACCCGGCTGTCCAAGGCTCCTGTTTTGGGGGGACTTTTGGGGATATTTGTCATCCCTCCCTTCCTGGTGGCTGTTTTGGGCTTTGGTCCCTCACCCTCCCGTGTTGGGGCTGGAGAGGAGAAGCTGAGCATCCCCTCATGGGGATGGTTTTGGGGTTTAATCCTTTCTTTTTGGTGCCATTTATCTCATTTTCATCTTCCAGCATCCACCTTGGGAGTGCTGGAGCATCCCCCCATGCTCCCAGCCAGGGGCTGAGGGAATTTTGGGGTGAATTCCTCCATTTTCAGCCCCATCTCACCCCCTGGGCCGATGTTTTTCTGGGATGCAAACCCAAGGAGGAGCCAGGAAACGCAGGGATGGCTTCAGCAGCTTTATTGAAGGATGGTTCTGGATCCAGGGAATCCTGCAGGGCTCCTGGTGGCCTGGGGTGGGAGGAAGAGCAGGAGAAGCTGGAAGGACAAAGAGAGGGAGGGAAGGAGCAATGGGGCTGCTTCCCTGGGGATGCTCCCAGGAACTCCCAGGAGCTGGAGCGGATCCCTGGGACATCGAAGGTGCTGGGAGGGTGAGCTGGGGGTTTGGGGACCCCAGGACATCCCATGGCCCCAAAGGGGTGCCCCAAAGGGGCCCCGGGTGCAGCAGCAGGGCCGGGGCAGGCGGCGGGGCCTGGCAGACGCTGCTGGGAGGTTTTAATCTTCATTAATCGGCCTTAATCAGCAGGGCAGGGCCTCCTGCTGGGGCAGCTCCTGCAGCCCCCAGCACCAACAGCCTCCGGTCCAAACTGGGAGAGACTGGAGGGGATGGGCCCTGCACCAGTAACCTGCACCCCAAACTGGGAGAGACTGGTGGGGATGGGCCCTGCACCAGTAACCTGCACCCCAAACTGGGAGAGACTGGAGGGGATGGGCCCTGCACCAGTAACCCCAACCCCAAACTGGGAGAGACTGGTGGGGATGGGCCCTGCACCAGTAACCTGCACCCCAAACTGGGAGAGACTGGTGGGGATGGGCCCTGCACCAGTAACCTGCACCCCAAACTGGGAGAGACTGGTGGGGATGGAGCCTGCACCAGTAACCCCAACCCCAAACTGGGAGAGACTGGTGGGGATGGGCCCTGCACCAGTAACCCCAACCCCAAACTGGTGGGGCTGCACCCATTCTCTGCCCTCTGGCATTGGGGGGGGGGGGTCTTCGTGTGGATTTTCTGCCCCTAAGCACCCCCAGGGAGGGCCCTGAATTGCAAAATGTGCCCCCAAATTGGAGGATTTGACCCCAGAAATGCAGGTGGACACTCAGGATGAGCCTGGCTGCTGCAGCTGGGAAGGGCCAGGATGAGGGGGGGCCCTGGGGGGCTCCCCCAGAGGCAGCAGATCCTGGGAATGCCGATCCTGGGAATGCTGATCCTGGGAATGCCCATCCTGGGAATGCCGATCCTGGTGGGACCGGCTGCACCGTGGGGCGGAGCCTCTGGGGAGGGGCGGAGCTCCTGGGGGTGTGGTCAGGGGTGGGGCTGGGGATGCTCCACCCCCAACCCCCCCAAATCCTCCCCCGGCGGGGCAGGGCCTGCTCTGAGTGAGGCGGGGGTTAAAGCCAGCACTGGGGGAGGGAGGGATGGACAGACAGACTGGGAGATGGGTCAGGGGATGGACGGACGGACGGACGGACGGACGGACGGATGGATGGAAATGCAGGAGGATGGATGATTCCACACCTGGACAGACAGACAGACAGACAGACAGGGGCTGGGTGTCCGTACAGCCAATGGACGTGGCTGCAGGAATGCACAGACGTTGGGTGTTGGTTACCTGGACGAGCAGACGGATGAACGACCAGACAGACACACGGACACCCGTGCCCCCACAGCCCCCACCGGCCCCAGCAGGGCGATGGGGACCCCCGCCCGTCCGTCTGTCCGTCCCTCCCTGCCCCCAGCACGGGGGGGATGATTGGAGCCTGCAGCCTAATCCAGCGTGATCCAATCTCCGTGGGCTAATGCCGAAAGCTCCATAATCACCAGCGCTGCCCTACATTCCCTGCACATCCCAGCACAGCCCAGCACAGCCCCAAGCCCCCTCCCCTCATGCCCCTGTCCCCTGCGAGCTGCCACCACCCCTGCTCCTGCACCTGGGGACAGGCAGGGGACACGGGCCGCCCGCTGCTCCATCCCTGCCTCAGTTTCCCCCCTGCATGGGGCTGGCGTGGGGTGGGATCCAGGAACAAGGGTCAGATCCAGGAGCAGGGGCGGGATCCGGGAACAGGGGCAGGATCCGGGAGCAGGGGCTGGATCCGGGAGCAGGGGTTGAATCTGGGAGCAGGGGTGGGATCCGGGAGCAGGGGTGGGACCCAGGGCTGGGGCAGGGGCCGGTGGCCTGACCCCATCCCCACAGGGCCCTGCCCAGACCGGGGCAGGATGAGCCTTTGAGGCCCCGAGTCACACCGGGACACGTGGCCACGCTGCTCCAGTCTCCAGTATCCCGCAGATCCCAGTTCCCCCCACCATGGAGATGGGCTGGGATGCCAGACCCCTCTCTGGGGCTGGGGGCAGCCCAGCATTGCCATCCCCCTTCAACCACGTGTGCAGGGCACCCACAGCATCCCCCAGACCCACACTGATGGAGCGGGGCCCTCCCCGGACCCCACAGGGCCCTCCCAGCCTGGCAGCAGAGCCCTGGGGGTGCCAGGGGACACCAGGGGACACCAGGGGACACCAGGGGGACTCTCATGTCCGCGGTGGTGCCCCGGGGCCGTAGTTGGCAAGTCTAGAACCACCGGATCCTGCTACCGCACCAGTGTGAGTTCTACCATTGCCAAAGGCAGCCCCGGGGCAGCCAGGCCCAGCCTGGGGACAGCCAGGGACAGCGGCCACCGTGCCGGGCCTGGAGAGCTGCAAAAAATAGGAAAAAAGCATCATTTCACCCATCCAGCCAGAAAACCCCACACGTGGCTCCAGATCCCCTCAGGGAGAGGGACGGGAGGTGCGGGGTCCATCCTGCTCGGGGCGGCCACCACGAGGACACGGCCTGGCCATGGGCTGGGACACCACGTTGGGATGGACACATCCTCAGTGTCACCATGGCATGGATGTGATGGACACATCCTCAGTGTCACCATGGCATGGATGTGATGGACACACCCTCAATGTCACCACGTAAGGATGGACACCCCCTCAGTGTCACCACGCTGGGATGGACACACCCTCAATGTCACCATGTTGGGATGGACACCCCCTTGGTGCCACCACGTAGGGATGGACACACCCTCAGTGTCACCACAGCATGGGTGTGATGGACACCCCCTCAATGT